CTGAAAACAGTGGTGATGCACAGTGGATGTTCTCTGTACTTCCCTGCCATGTCTCCATGAAGCCCACAGCAGCTTCCACGCAGTGGGAGGAGGTGCCACTGCAGTGTAACCCTGAACCGCTGGGACCACAAGAGTCCTTGGGAATGCAGAGCCCAAGGCAAAGCCCCCTGGTGTAGCATTCACCTTAGACAGTGGCAAAGTGACTTGGATGTATCTGTAGGGGAGCTCCCCCAGACACTCATCTTTCTCTGTACAGGGATCAAATGTGCTCCCAGTAAATCCTTCTGGAGGTGTTCAGACTCTCTTGTCTGGCCAGATACAGACCACATTTGTATAATTGGAATAAGCCTTTTAGGACCCAATTATCTGGATACACAGTGTGCCTGCCTCTCTCTTCAGGAGGCAGCCTGAGACCAGACATTCTCCAGTGCTTGCCAGCGCTGTCTTTTGGAACACAACGTGTAAAACACTAGCAGCAAAACAGAAGGGCATAAAAATAGACGATGTTCATTAACTGTAATAATCCAGATACTCTCTCTGTCCCTTGCCCATCAGCTTTTGGAAATGCCAAGACAATTCGAAATGACAACTCGAGCCGCTTTGGGAAATACATTGACATTCACTTCAACAAAAATGGTGTGATAGAAGGAGCCCGGATAGAACAGTTTCTTCTGGAGAAGTCCCGGGTTTGCCGGCAGGTGAGGGCACTGGCAGGTGTGCATTCTGCCTGCTCCTGTGTTACAAGCTTATCCTGACAAGGCTGTCCATTGGCCTGTTTTGGTTTTTTTTAGGCTCCAGAGGAGAGGAACTATCACATCTTCTACTGCATGCTAATGGGGATGAATACAGAGCAGAAAAAGATGCTGAATCTGGGCACTGCTTCAGAGTACACATATCTCACCATGGTAATAGCCTCTGCTTTCTTCTTTGTTTATCCCTCTGCCATTTGCTTCTCCCAGTGAGCAATTACAATCAGTAGGAGCTGCAAGTGGTAATTACCAAATATGAACAGTCCTTTCCTTAGAATACCAGGAGCAACAACACCAAAAGTGCTGTGAGCCTCAGTTTCAGAGACTTATTGTATTGTTCACCAGTGGGAAGCAGCTTGAGGCAAGTCAAAGCTTTCTATCAAAGTCAGACTTAAGAAACATAAAAGACGTATTAAAGCAGGTGGAAAACATCCCCCACTTTCCCAGGCACTCAGATTTCAGAGGAATGCAAGGGATCTCATTCCAGGGAGAACAGCAATCACATATGTGTACCTTAGAGGAAAATGAATAAGCAGAATCCTAGTCCTTACATCTAATGAATCTTATATACACAATGCAGGCAGCTGGCATTCAATACAACCTCCCACAACTGATGTTAATGTCCCTGTCTGGGTTTATGATGCCATTGTGGTAGCAGTGGAATGTTCATAGGTGAGATTTTTGAAAACAGCTAGTTGTTTGGTTTAGGACATGAAAGCCATAATGAAAATTCTGTTCTTTAGCCTGTATAGATACCTCATATTAAACATGTCAGCTGGTTTGATTTGGGCTGTTCTACAGCTGTGGAAAAAATGGGGCTTAGTCCTGCCTCTACTGAAGTTAGTGAAAGCTAGGCATCTAGTTTCAGAGGAAATCAAATCAAATCTATCATCCCTTTCTAAAGTCTCAAAAGAAAAACCATTTATGTTGCTGGAGATTTTTTCAAATGTAATGTTTTCAAAATAGCAGTGATCTTGCAGCAAAAGCTGACAAGTACAATTAGTGCAATTCAGCCATTGTTCATTCCATAAAAAAGGCCCCTGGGTCAGCAGTAGGGCAGTATGACACAGAGATAGGAGGACTGGATTAAAGGAGAACATATCCATGGTTTTGTTAAGGTCAGCTGTTGGCACAAGCTGGCATGTCTAGATGCTGTAGACTGAAATGTCTAGGAATATTTCACTTTTGTAATCATCACACTATATTGTCAGAAATAGCAAGGATAAAAAAGGCATTTCCCCATCTCCATTAGGGCTGAAAGTAGTTTCTATCAGGAGCAGCATCCTGGGACCAGGCTTTGATGAAGGTTCTGATGCTGCCTCGAATGCTTCCATTTGCCTTCCACTAGAACCTAATATTTTTATTTTGAGATTTGCCTCCTAGTACTGATCCAATCCTACTTGCTTTGATTTGGGATAAGGGCTCTTAATTGTCCATTGACAAGACAGAGGGAGGAAACCAAAGAAACTGGCATGGCCTTGTAAATGTAGGTAACTTTGTCAAAGCCTCCTGTCCTTCTGTGCTCCAGAGCAGCCTTCCCTTCAGCTTGTCCTTTTGGCCTCCCCAGAATTCTGTTTAGCCCCAGAGAAATACATTACTGAGCCCTCTGCTAATGGGTTCTTTAGAGTAAAGGTGAAGGAAGAAGCAGCCATGGGAAGAGGATATAGGATATCTAAATAGGTTTTTACCTTGCATCTTGTGGCAAGTGACTCACAGGATATCCACACTGTGTACAAAGGTTTGTCAGCCTGCAGGTCCCTTCTTCCTCGTATGGGTACCAGGAGGATTTTCCTCACCTGTGGGTGTGGTGCCTTGCAGGGCAACTGCATGTCCTGCGACAGCCGGAACGACGCGAAGGATTATGCCCACATCCGCTCGGCCATGAAGATCCTCATGTTCTCAGACTCCGAGCACTGGGACATCAGCAAGCTGCTGGCTGCCATCCTGCACCTGGGGAATGTAGAGTTCCAAGGTAAACTCAGCACTGTCTGTGCTTGCCTTTCCTCAGACTCCATGGTAAAGGTACTTCCACTCGGTGCTTCCTGCTTCCATCTGTACAGATCAGGTTGTGCTGCTCTGCCGTGCATTAACAGGTCAACAGAGTTGGAAGGACAGGCAGATAAGCACCATAAAATTCTGATCTGTGACTCCACTGCCTAGTGTTTTGAAAAACAACATCTTATTGTTATTTTGTCATGCCATCAGGTTTCCATGGTTGTAAATAGGCCCTTATCACACAAACTGAAACAACAGAAAGTATAATGCCGTGTTACATTTGCTGATTGTTGTGCTAGGCAAGCCAGAGGACATAGGAGCAGCTGAGTGGTGTTTGCTGTGGAGATAACAGCAGTCATCCTCCTGGCTGAGTCTGGTAAACACTCACCTGCATAGGTGCACTTTTGGTATGGACAGGCACAGTGTGACACCCACCAGCGGGTTGCCAGAATCTCTCACATTTTAGAAAAGAGCTCCTCACTTTGTGATACAGAGGGCCTGATGCACTGGTGCCATTTGGATTCTTTGGAGTAACGCTGGCTGCTAAAATTAGGGATTTCCTTCATTCCCCTTTGTTGTCCAAATTTCCTACAAGCAGATAGACAAAAAATATTTTCAGAAACACATTTTCTGGAGTCAAATATCCCTTCCCCAGACCCTCAATAGCTACTATTTTAAATCAATAACCTTGTCAGTTTGGCTGCTCTTTTTAGCCTGATGTTCTGGAGTTGTGAGAGCCCTGTAGATCCCAGGATCCCTGGGTGAAATCTTTAGTAAAATCATCAAACCCGGGAGTTTCAAAAGAGAACTGGGTGCCTTGCCACATTCCCAGAGCTACGGGATCACAGAAATGCAACTGCATTAACAGCACAGGCCCCTAATGTAGCAGAAATGGTTCCCTCCCAGACCAACTGTGTCCTCTCTGCAGCGGCCGTGTACGACAACCTGGACTGCTCCGACGTGATGGACTCTCCACACTTCTCCATCGCCACCAAGCTGCTCGAGGTAACGCACTCTCACCTCCTCCTGCTCGTTCCTCCTTCACCCTTGTTCCCCGAGCACACTGACAGAGCACGTCTCTGGAGTGTCTGTGCAGGGATGCACATCCCCTTCTTCCTGCTGAGACTCCAGTCATGCTGCTGCAGGTGTCTCTCTGAGTGGGGAGATATTTAACTGGGACAGCAAATTGCCAGTGAATGCTGCTAGACATGCAGTTTGTCACAGCCCTCTTCCCGATACACACTTTGCTGGATCGCCTTTATTCACCTGGCATGACCAGGTTGCCATGACTGTTCCTCCAGGTGGACTCCAGTGAACTCCAGAACAGCCTCACAAACCTGTCCATCATTGTCCGAGGAGAGAGTGTGTCTAGGCCTCTGAACGTGGCTCAAGCTGCCGACGGCAGGGATGCCTTTGTGAAGGTACTGGTGCTTACAGCTTCCATGTTTGAAGACTTTCAAAGACTTCCATGTTTTGAAGATGCTTTCAGAGCTCTCTGTCTTCCTGGCTGAGGAGTCTGATGTGACATTCACCCAGAGGGCTCCAGGCCTTTCTGGTTCTCAGGCACAGTTTCACAGCAGCACAATAACAAGCAGTAAGCTATGTCCAAAGACTCTAATGATGGGCTCTAATTCCTCTTGCATTTTTTCCTCAGGGAATATATGGACGGATCTTCCTGTGGATAGTGAACAAGATCAACTCAGCCATTTTCAACCCAGCTTCTGAGAAGCATAAGGACAGACGTCAGTCCATTGGGCTGTTGGACATTTTTGGGTTTGAAAACTTCAGCAACAACAGGTAGGAGACTCCAGATGAGAAGCTGAAAAGCAGCTGATGTAAAGGGAAAGAATGAAAAAAACAGACAGACACAGGCTTTTTCATCATCATCCTGATTCTCAGAAAAGCAGTGACATTTCCATTACTGGATTTTCCCAATTATGATCATGCACAGATTCCATTTTTCTTCAGTCTTGGTCATATTTCTGCCTCCTCCCCCGCCTTCATTTTAGTGCATCCATTACACAACTATTCCAAAACCTCAGGAATTTTCTCAGAGGAGATGGGTATGAAGCTGCTATGAGCAAACAGCCACTATGTGAGGATGTAGTATGTCCCTGTGTCTCTGCACCAAACTTTCCTGTTCCATTGCATTTTACAATGTCTCTTGGGATACATTTGGCATATAGTACAAAGGAGACCATTTCAGCTCATGCTTACATCTTCCTCAGTGTTCTCCCATCCTTTTTTTTTTTTTTTTTTGGCCGCTGCATTTCTCCACTCTTAAGGACAGGACAGCAAAGTCCCTGGTCAGTATACCATTGTACCACTGCTGCCTCTTCCACTGGTGGTTCCAGTCCCAAAGCACCATTTCTGTTTTCCGTTCTCTCTGGGGGCAGCAGCTCTCTTAGTTACCATATCATCAGTCCTTCACAAACCATCAGCACACTCTGCAGTCTTTTTTCAATCCATTTCAACTGATGCCTCTTGCCTTCAACAAGATAATATTCCTCACTGACTTTTGGAGCAGGATCTGGGATCAATTTGGTCCGTCTTCTTTCTTTTGTGTTCTCTCCTGTTATTTTATGCTGTTCCCAAAGGCTGCAGTCCACATGGGGCCTCACTGTGGTGAGCACTCCACAGGCACACACAGTGTGCCGCAGCAGTTACCAGGTAACACTCAGGTGCAGCATAAAGGAGTAACTAACCAAAGAATTGGTAGTGCCAGTGGGAGCAGAAACATGTCACACGCTCATGCAGTCGAGATTTTCACAGTTCCCCTTTATCTCTGGAATTTCTTGAAACACGTAAGAGATCTTTCCTTGCCTACTCAGCAACACTCAATCACCAGTTGGCTCACTGCTGCTGATCTGTACCATGGCAGAAAATGCCTCTCTTGTATTGCTGAGATTGGCAACATGCAGTGATGGTGTCACCAGCACTGTGGAATTTAGCAGTAGTATCTCTGGATATGTATTTAATACAGAGAATAAAAAAATACCAGAGAGCAGTGCAGCACTGGCCAAGGATGACCATGGGCTCTCCTCTTGTCCTTCCTCAGCTTTGAGCAGCTCTGCATCAACATTGCAAATGAGCACCTTCAGCAGTTCTTCGTGCACCATGTCTTCAAGCTGGAGCAGGAGGAATACCTTGCAGAGCACATTGCCTGGAACAACATCGACTTCACTGACAACCGCCAGGCTCTGGAAGTCATTGCACTCAAGCCCATGAACATCATCTCCCTCATTGATGAAGAGAGCAGGTTCCCAAAGGTAAATTTCTGGTTTTACTTGTAATGCCTGGCTTTGCACACAGCTCACAGGTAGCACTTGGTTTTACACATACAAAAGTGCAAAGGTGGCTTTGGGACAGATTAGGAGAGGCAATGTGTTCTCCCCATAGATGTTTCTTTTAAATTAGTTCACTATACAGCTGCTTCACTCTCTGTTGGAATTTGCTCTTCCTGGTACCTCGCTGTTGAAACTCTTACAGCTGTTCCAAACAAAGAAGGAAGGAGTCCAGATCATTTTACAAGGGCTTCTTAGGAAATCTTTGAAATTGTTTGTTGTTTGAGTATTGTTCTGCTCTTGGTCTGGGCTGCAGCTTGCTCTTTCTTCTCCTGATTGACAAACCTAATTAGAGGGAATGTCACCATTGTGAGGAACTGAAGGGGAACTACAGGCCTGTCAGCCTGACCTTGGTGCTGGGGAAGGTCACGAATACATCATTTTGAGCACCACCACAGAGCACATACAGAACAACAAGGTGATCAGGCCCAGTCAGCATGGGTCCTGTTTGACTAACCTGATCTCCTTCTATGACAAGGTGACCTGCTTAGTGGATGAGTGAGAGTCTGTGGCTGTTGTCTACCACAATTCTGTGATTCTGTGAAATGTTGTTCTGGTGAAAGTAGCATCTGATGTCAGACATCCCTGCAAAGAATTTTCGGCCTCCAGAGCACAGTAAGGCTAAGCAGGATTGCTAGTGCAGGAATCAGATGGCAATGGGGTTGTCCAGAAAAGCCAGCCCCTGCCTCAGCTCATCTGTGTCCTTCAGGTAACAGTTTGAGAGGATCACATACAGGCACACAGCTTTCCCCTTTCTTCCCTAAGAAGAGGGTGGTCCCACAGTCAGGATGAGAAGGGACCTCTTCTATGACTCCCAGAGCACATGAATTCTGAGAGCACAGCCCTCACTGCCCCTAGAAGGGCCAGTGCACACAGTGCACAGTGTGAGTGCCTCACATGCACCACGAGGGGATGAGATTGTGATGGCACCCCTTGAAGAGAAGCACCCAGCTGACTGCCTTGCCTCTGGAACTCACAATCTGGGCATGCTGACTGGTATCTGCTCAGGGAATCTTCCAGGGATCTCTGAGTCCTGCACCAGCTGCAGAGTGAAAGAACTGTGCCTGTCCAGGAGAAGGAGCAGGCACCCCTTAGAGTGTCCTGGACAGGATGGCGTGAGAACGTCTGGTGGGGGGCTCTGCTTGTGAGGTCCAAAGATCTGAGGAATTCTCAGTGCACCTGGTGATGTCAGTACTGTTATGGGGGCTTGTGTACAGCCCTAGAACACCAGGCCTTAAGCTCTGATGGTGTGTTCTGTCATGGTGCTTGAGAGAGAGGTCTGTGTAAAAGGGAAGATACTTTTGGCACTACCTTCCTCCAGATCTGCTACACAGATAAGGGCAGAATTTGAGCTTTTGCTATCTCTGGTCACCACTTCTGTTTGTTTGCTGAGCACAGGCCAGTGCTGGGGACAATCTGATAACTGTCTGGTTTTGCCTGTATTTGTTTCTAGGGCACAGATGCCACCATGCTTGTTAAAATCAATTCCCTCCATGGCAAAAGTAAAGTCTATATCCCACCTAAGAGTGTTCATGACACCAAGTTTGGCATCAACCACTTTGCTGGGGTTGTCTTTTATGAATCAAAAGGTGAGTCTTTCTCTGCTGGATACAGAGGGTGAAGAGAAGGGCAGGACGTGCCCTGGGTATGTGGCTGTTCAGGGTAGTGTTGATCTGAAGCTGATCAGGAGGCCAGGAGAATGACTCTAAACCAATCTGCAAGTTACTGTAAATGAGTTGGATTTTAGGCAGACAGAGTGCTAGAGCCAGCAGGCTGCAGATGTGATAATTTTGTTTCCATCCTATAGATTTCCTGGAGAAAAATCGTGACACACTGAGTGCTAACGTAATGCAAGTGGTCCATTCCTCCAAAAACAAATTCCTGAGAGAGATTTTCCAGGTGGAAATGACCCCACCTACTCTGGGACGTGGGACCATCCGGCATCTTGGAGCTGACCAGATCTACAAGGTTGGCTTACTGACACTGGCTTATAGCTGTTCTTGACCTCCTCTTTTTTTTTTTTTTTTTCCCCACTGTCTCTGCAAATTCCCGTCCCTTTCATTCAACTTGTTTCTGCAAAGGAAGCTGCAGGAAAGTCGGGGTCTGGTGTTTGTGCTGTAAACAAGTGCGCTGTCAGCCCTGTCGCCCAGATCTGCATCCCTGGACATCTGTGCAGCCATGCCTGCAGGCTGCCCCACATCCCTGAGCCGTGGTACCTCCCCCACCTGCTGGCATCAGCTGGATGGGTTTGGTCTGCACCTGCCTGGGCATCCATCCAGCACCCACATTGCTCAGAGGGGTGTAAATTATGAGGGGGTTCAAAACGTTCATTGGAATGGACAAGGCACCAACCAGAGACCCCTCAGCAAAGCCAGCACAGCAGGGAAACTGCTGCTGTGCTGCACAGGCAGCCAGTCTGCTGGGACCAGAACACCAAAGAGTCTCACTGGGCAGTGGGTCCTGGCCTTCCCATTCTTATTGAGGGCTGACAGGTAGCACAACAGAGCAAAGAGCTGTGCTGCCACAGAAAGATACTCTGTCTCCTTCTCCCAGTGACACCTGTAGAGACAGTCTCACTGCCCTGCATACTGCTGCAATTTTAGCACTCCCTTCTTGCCCAGAGGCTTTATGACAAAGTTCATGATGGCTCATTGTCACAGGCCCGTCTGTGCCTGGTGGTGGAGGGAGCCTTGTCTGTGCTTAGTGAAAATGAGGGTGTAAAGTGTAGTGGACTGGAAACAGCGTTGGGGCAGAGTTTGGGTTCTTTGCCCTGCTCCAACTTTCACAAACTGTGATTTCTGAGCATTTAACAATGTAGTATCATCAGTGTGTAAAGGTACTTTTGCTTTTACTGTTTACATCATTGAGTTTTTCTTTCAGGACACAGAACAGCTTGCTACCTTACCTCTTATCTGTCTATTCTCCTGGCACTGTTTTCTGATCCTGTTCTTTCTTCCTCTGTCTTTGTCCCAGTGTGGTTTTCTGCTGTCCAGAACACCTGGCCATGGACAGGTAAACATCCTGGGGGCAAAGAACATCAGAAGTGGTACAAGCAGCAACAGAGAACTGGCTTAGCATCTCTTAAATGCTGTGAATACCTTCAGATTAAATATCAGGTCTATCTACATTGCTCTAATGGTTTTTGTTCCTATAAATAAGTCTGCGTTATTGAAAAAAAGCACAGCAGCATGTCAAGAAAGGAGATACTAAATGGGGGCTACCCATTCCAAAATGCATAGAAATTAGCTGAAATACCCCTATTAATTTTCAAATAGGTGGGGCTACCATTGGGAAGCTTAAGAAGCAGGCTACAGAAAAGAATAATGAACTAAGGGCCAGAAAACACTTTTTTGTCCTGAGGTCCCACAGCTCCTCTCCTGACACACCAGGGCAGAAAAGTCACCATTAAGCCAAAAGCCAACAACAAATTCAGCTTTAACAATGTTCCGTGTGTGAGATCATGAGGGCATGGGCTTCAGCCTTTTGTGGCCTTGCCACTGAGGGTACTGAGCAGAAAGGCCTCTAAGGTCTGGGAGTGAAACCTGCTTTTAACTCTTACACAGCTTAAATATGTATATGCTGTTAGCATACCTACTTCAGATGCTTGCTAGCCCTAAGATGCATCAGATCTGCGAAAAGACATTCCCAGGAGCTGTTTTCCAAAGACATGAGTCTTTGATCACTGGAGGGCAGCCTTGCCCTGCAACTAAAGCAGAGGGTGGCAATTTGAGGGTTCAAAAAGGCACTTTAGATGTAAGAACAGAGCAGAATGAAGTACTGTAAAGACCATGGAAGTGAGAGGAGCCACTGAACTTTAAATTATTTACTTGGAAAAAAATAAAAAAAAAAACACAACCCACTAACCCCTCCCCAAATGAGCAAACCAGCTGTGTTGTGCTGCAATAATTAGCTCCATGCCTGTATGTAAAAGGCCACTGGAGCCCTTCTGTTACTTGGAATTTGTACTGGTGTCACTGCAATTTAATGTGCCCATACTGAGATAGAAGCTTGAGCCTAATGTGATGATTTGTGTGAAAAAGGCATAGATGGAGCTGTGCTGTCAGAGAAGCTGGGGAAGTCTGGAGTGGCTCTCACCTTACTCCAGTAAAAGTTTGCCTACTCCCTGCTCACTGTAGTATTAATGAGCAAGGTGATCAGTCATCCTAACCCTTAAGAAATAGGCTGTTCTGGATCTTTAGCATTCTTATCTATGATGGCACAAAATGTCTGGCCTAGAGGTTAGTACTGCTTTGGGAGGGGCTGTTTCTCAGGAAGCTTTCAGGCACACACCCAGGAATCACACTTGGCACCCAGGCCCTACACTAAACACAGCCTTGGCTGGAAGGGACAGGCGTATGTGGGCTCCTGTAGGTGGAATTTCTTCTACCACAGCCACCATCATTGCTAGAACTTAGTGCCCAAGTAGGTGACAGCACTTAATGGGGTTTCTTTGCAAGAATAAGCCAAAATTAATAAGATGAAAACGACCAATTTAATTCCCGCGTAGGTAAATAATTTTTTTCTGAGAGTTGCGTGATACTGCTGCGCTGTACAAAAATACAAAGTTTTATTAACTGGCCTCTGACAGTGAATGATGTAGCAGTCAGCATGTGCTTACTCTCCCCAGGGCTTGGATACCACCAAGCGGCTCTCTACTCTGGGAGGACAGTTCAAGCAATCCCTGGAAAAACTAATGAAAATCCTGGAGCAGTGCCAGCCATACTTCATCCGCTGCATCAAGCCTAATGACTACAAGAAACCACTGGTAATGTTCTAACAATATGAGCTCTTGTCTTCAGTGAAGTTTTTAATCAGAAAAAGCTGTCAGTTGCTGTGTAGCACTTTCTAGCTGTACTTGGCTGCAGCCAGGAAGAGTTGGAGTACAGGCTATTCCTGCAATTAAGACAGTAGGAGGATATAACATTGTTAATGTACAAAATCATCTCAAAAAATACATCCTACAGTAATGGATGGCAAAAAAGCACATACATGTATTCCTGAGCAGAGTTATATAGTTATATTTTCTGTAAAGCGAAAGAGAGTTTGTAGCCCCTCAGCAAGGGGACAAAAAAACCCATTAGGATCCCACAATGCTCATACTATGAAATAGCCTGAGAGAGAATAGGAGAGCTGTTGGAGTTTGTGAGAGGGGTGATGTGGCTTAGTCTGACACTACAGGAGAAGAGGAATCAGTTTGTCATTAAGACACTTGTCTGGAACTCAGGAGATCTTGATCCAGTTTTACACTTAGACTTGGTATGGTGTTGGTCAAGTGAATATTTTTGAAGTACTGCATGTGGCTTAGTGAAACAGGCAGCACACCTGCTATGCTTTGCATGGTATGCCCAAAGGGCCTAAGTTGCTACCGCAGTTGTTCACACCTGCAAATGATATGAACAATTCACTGTTCATCTGGAATTGTGGTTCTGGAATTGAAAATGGTTACTAAAGCCAGAGTGAAGTTAACGGGCTGTATCTTCTGCTCACGTACACAGAATTGAGGACCCTCTGGGGTAACTTGTTTATGCCCGTAATGAATTCATTCAGTGCAATTAAAAAAAGCATAGTCAGCCATTTCGCAGGCCCTCTGAGGTTGAAGGTTAATAGATATGTTCTGAGGGATGCTGGATGTGTACCTTCTTTCAGTGCTAAGTCTCCTCCTGGTGTGCTTTCCCCTTCAGTTGTTCGACCGGGAGCTGTGTATCAAACAGCTGCGATATTCGGGGATGATGGAGACCATTCAGATCAGGAAAGCTGGGTACCCAATCCGCTACACCTTTGAGGAGTTCTTTGAGAGATACAGGGTTCTCTTGCCATGGTCTCTTCGACAACAGGTGTGTAAGCAAAAACCTGGTTTAAGGCTAATTTAACTTTTCCTTATGAGGCTTTAGTCTTTTCCGCGGTAGAAAGTTCTTGAATTACTGCTGGCACAGTTGAGAGAGCTGTCATCGCAGGAGCTGCCATCATGGGGACTGTCACCACAGTAATTACAGCTAAATACTTACTCACTTGGCCCTTAGCTGAAAATGCACAGCTGTTTTTAGATCCAGCTGTCATTGGCCTGCTCCATACAGACATCCCAGGCAGGATGTGCCTTCAGATGTTTCTTTTCTGTAATCACATACTTCTCAGGTCTCTGACATCCTCCTCACACTTGAACTCTGGAATGCTTGGCCATGCAGTCGTGTTCCTCCTTTTCCTGACCATTTGAGTTGAACCACTTTCATTCATTATACTGTCAGCCCAGAGGTCAGTAAGACCTCACCTCTTTCTGTTCTTCGCCCTTTGAAATGCAGGGCAGTAGATCCTTACCTATAGCACAGCTGCTGTGTTTCACAACCAAGCCCTAACATCATCATGCTTTTGCACATCAGCTGAAGAATGATGCTCGACAGAGCTGCATCAGCATCTCCGAGGCAGTGCTGGGCAAGGATGAAAGCTGGCAAGTTGGAAGGACCAAGATTTTCCTTAAAGTAAGTAAAAAGGACAGTTTATTGTCTCTTCTCCTGAAAGACTGGATGCTTCACAGTACAGTTTGACCTGCTTGTGCAAGAGTGGTGACCTTGGAGGACTCGGTTGTCTTATAAACTCTCTTGAATCTGAAGCTGTATCTTTGTTCCTGAAGGCCAAATAATTCAGTAGAGACAGTTAGGTGTAGGAGAGGCTGATCCTGTTCCTGTGTGCCATCTTTGCAGCTGAAACAGTACAGTGCAATGTACTGGAGCATAAAAAAGAATGGGATACCAGTACACTGTTGCAGGAAACCACCTTGCCTGTAGCATTCCCCCAGGTAAAACAGTCTGACTGCTTGTTTATGGCTATAGACAGACCAGGTGTGTTCAGGTGGTGTGTACTCGTCCTACTGAAGTCCCATGAATGCATTTTAATCACATTATGCTCCATCATGCTGATTTTGGGCCTCTTTCAGACCATGTGCCCAGTTTTCAGAGGTCGTAGGTGTGTCTGCTCACCTGGCATATCCACACTTTGTTTTAACAGGATCATCATGACACTGTATTGGAGCTGCAACGCCAAAATATACTCACAGATAAGGTTCTTCTTATCCAGAAGGTGATGAGAGGATTGAAGGACAGGTCAGTGATCTTGTAAGAAGGAAGTCACTTTGGTTTGAAGCAGTTATCTTTGTGATGCATCTTAACACACTCTGTGCAGCATTTCTAAGTATGAAACACACCAATCTACACCTTCCACCAGCCCTAAATTCCATGCTCATCATGTAAGAGTGCACAGTGTATCTATGCAGATTTTGCACAAGGATTTGGTTTGGCTCAGTTTTTTTTATTTTCACGATGCTTTTCAAAACGCAGGGCTGTGGCACACACAGCTTGTATGAAGAGGAAGGGTTGGAAGGAGGATTTGTTCTTAATATTTCTGGTAAACAGTAGACATCTCAAAAGCAGGAAATCCCCATGCAATCTGTGTCCTTCTCAGAGCTACAAGAATTCTCTTATTTAGTATGCTTCTTTGATAACAAAACCTAGAAAAGAATCAGATAGAAATTACCTAGTCCTTCTCTTTGCCAGATGCATAATTCTTGCATTTTGTCTGGTTTTAGTTTGAAATATCTTCAGAAGGGCAATTTAGTCACTGTCAAGTAAATATTTGTCCTCATTGAATGCTCTGTGTCACGATTTCTTCTTATTACCTTGTATCCCCCCAACCAGAACCATGATATAGGACTGAATCCTGGTTTAGTTTAGTAATATTCTTGACAGTAGAGAGCAAGAACCAAAAAACATGACACAAATGCCCCAAAACTTCCCCTTTTTTTTTCAGACTCTGCCTGCTATCTAACAGAGTATCACCTCTCCCTAAAAGCCTCAACTTGCTTTTATTTTTAAACCATCAGAGCTATGTGCCAGCCTTGGTGTGACAGTTTGTACCATGGGAAGTTCATCTTGCTCAGATGGGCTACTTGTCCTGGCAGCAGGACACTGGGGAGCAAATGGTTATTAGGTGGGGGAGTTAACTTATCCAACCTTGATGTAAGAGGTTTTCAGTTCTTACAGAGCTCTCTGACCATAGCAATGAATTTGGTCTGCAGTTGCTGTGAGTATTTTTGCAGGAAACAAGGCTGAGATCAGACTGGAGACATCCCAGGAAAAAAGGGAAGAAATGCCACCCTCTTCTTTACTATTGTCATAAGAAGCAACAGAGATAACCTATTGTTTGTCACCTCACATGTCTGTCTGTTTAGGAAGCAGTTCCTGAAACAGAGGAAGTCTGCTGTAGCTATTCAGTCAGCCTGGAGAGGCTACTGCTGCCGGAAGGACTTCAGAATGGTAAGATGAAGGTGTACACATATATGTGTGTGTGTGTGTGTGTGTTTGTTTATCTACTATGCCCTGCCAGGCTGAGTAGAGTATTAGGAATGAAGATATTCACAAATGAAGGGAGGAGAGGTGAGATGGCAGGGTGTAAGGAAGGCTGTAAAGTCCAAGGAGGACTCTGGGACATCTCAGGGCTTGCTGAATTCTGCTTTCTGGTGAAATAGGAACCCTCCTCCACTGCTTCTCTTGCAATTGCCACAGCCATGGCTCCAAGGGTGTGACTTTGCTTGCTTCCATTCACTTGGCTTCATGTCTGCTCTGTTCCTTCCCTTGTCATAATCCCAGGCTATCACTGTCACTCTCTGGAGCCATTCCTTGAACAGATCCCCCAGATAACTCTGTATATCTAGTTTTAAAGTCGTTTTACTGGCAGGAAAACCAGTAAAGTACCTTTTAAAGCATAAAAGGTACTATTACATTAGCTGCTTCCAGTGTCTTTATGCAGTTACTGAATTTTGTTGTCTTCTACCCATCCCAGCTCACTGGCAGTCTCTCTGGTTTTGAAGTGACTCCCTGTCTCTCCCGTCCCTCAGGCGATGCTGGGTTTCGGGCGCCTGCAGGCCCTGTACCGCAGCCGGCAGCTGGCCCAGCACTACGGGGCCACCCGGGCCCGCATCATCAGGCTCCAAGCCCGGTGCCGGGGTTACCTGGTGCGCCAGAAGGTGGCAGAGCAGAAGAAAGCCGTGTGTGTCATACAGGCGTACGCGAGGGGCATGTTGGCTCGCCAGACCTACCAGAGGAGGAAGGGGGAGGTACGCTCACAGGTAACTTGGGAACGCGTTGTTTCTATGAAATTCCAATCTCACGAACAACAAGCGTTGTCGTAGCGTAGCGCTAGGTGCGGATATTCATTTGGGGATATTTTATTTTGAGCTCTTGTCAAGCCCAAAAGCAGAGTGTTAGGCAGGCTGATCTTGTTTACATTTGCTTTATGTGATCATTTATCATGGGTCAAAACTTCACTGACACAGCTGAAGCGGTTTTGACAGAAGGCAGGAGAAAAGATATGTGTATGTATCTCTCCTGCGAGGGGAGATCCATTTCTACAGAAAGGCCTGCTAATGGCACTCAGGGATCCATGAAGGGAATCCTAACGCAGTGTGTCTTGTTATGTGCTACCAGCCCCTGATAGTCCAGAGCATGTTGGAGGCCTCTCCATGACTTCCTTTATGTACTAATGCTGTATAACCAGGACAAAGCCAATTTGCAGATTTCTGCCTCTTCCCTAAAATGCCCGATCTAGAACTGAGTCCCTGTTGGGAAAAAGTGCTGGTGTGGACAGCTCGTTAATGGCTGAAGGGACCTGGCTCAGCAGTTGTACAAATGGTCACAGAATGTTGTCCACAGAACAAGCTGGAAGCCAGGAATATCCACTTGGAGGAAGAGGAAGGTCTCATCCAAGTCCTTGGACCAGTGAAAGCAACGGAAGAAGCTATGAGATTACAACAGGTAGGTATGTTGGTGGAAGAACACTGAGTGCTATGTTCCTTGGCTAACAAGACAGCTTGCCCTTGCCTAGACCAGACCTGCAGACTTGTTCAAACATCTGAGCACTGCTATATTTTAAGAAAGAGAAAACGTAGTTGCAAACCTATTTGTAATAACGCTTTGAAAATGGGACAAGCCAAACACATACACATTTCTGATTGCAGCATGAGCTGGCACGTTAGCCAAATATGCCCAATGCTATTACAACCCCCTGACACAAAACCTTTTTAAATTTTAAATGTTGTGGGGTTTTCTGCTGTTAGAAATTCTGTGTTTTCCCTGTATTATCTCTTGTTGATAACGTTCTTGAATAATTGCACATCATTATCAATAGGCCAACAGTCCATAAGGACAGCTGTAAGAGCAAGGCCCTGCTGCTGATGTGCCAGATCTTTGTGACTGCTTGACACAAGCAACATTTGATTTCCCATTCCACTACTGCACTGGTAGGGCTGGACCTCACTGTCACACACCTTTGTAATAGTGTTTCATCTTCACACTCCTTCATTCTAACAGAATGATGTTCAAGTCATGCCTAACCTATTTCTATGTTTATTTCTATGCCTGGCAACTCAGGAGAGAGAGGAGGCCGAAGCAAGACAAAGGAGTAACACACCAACAAATCATGATGTTATCAGTGACCAAGAAATGGTGGACAAAATTTTTGGGTTTTTACCTTCTATGATTGGAGGCCAAGAAGGACAGGCTCCTCTGGGTTTTGAGGTACAGAGCTGCAGACTGGTAATGAGTCATGCTTATCCCTTGTGTAAGTCCACTGACTGCTGGAATTCCATCAGTGGTCAGTTCTGTTTAATGAACTTCTGTACAGTGAAAGAATCACCCAAATTAGTCATCCAGACAGTCGCTGTGACATCTGCTTTCAGAGGTCAGTTCCCAACCGTTTTGGTCACATGCATTTTGAGAACTATATAGCTTCTAACTGCAGATTTGTTTCTTTGGCACAGCCTATTACACTCTGGAGTTTAAGCCAGAAGTTGCCCAGAGTGGTTACATTTTATTTAAGACTTTTTAAAAGCCTTTTGGTTCATTATATCCTCTAATTAACATCCAGAGAAAAAGTCATACACTCTTCTCTAAGATAAATACTTTTAATTTAATGAGAAGATATTTTGGCAAAAGGAGTAAAATACAACCAAGAAAAAGCATTTCACTACAACACTCAGTACAAAAACCCATTCCACAGAATCAATATACTAGCTGTGGTAAAACACAATTCATTGGTTTTAAGTTACCCACAAGAGAAGGAAAAGGAGAAGAAAACAGATTAAAAGAGTAAAGAAAAAGGGATGAAAGAGAGACGTAGAGAGGGGAAAGTGGAGGCAGCAGGAGAAGAGAAAGAGAGAGAAAAAAGGAAAAATAGTTACCGACTAGATTTGATGGTTCACATGGTTCAGGTTGGTGATTTTCTGCCTGAAAGGTGGAAGTTCATAACCCAAGTTATCCCATGTTCTTAAAAGCAAAACTTGGTATATACTAGTCCTGACAGCTGTAGATGATGGAATTGCATAGGGAGAGGTGGGCAAAATAGAGTGGTCTTAGTGCAGGATATGAACAGTGAGGTAACACCTGGATTTTCCATCAGCAATATTGTTGCTGAGGACCAAGACAGGAAGGCCATATGAAGTGGATGTATCTCAGAAAGACAAGCTCTGAGTCCAAATGATCTGTTGGTAGCAGCTGTAAATGGCTTTGAGGTTAGCTGGAAAGGAGGACCTATGACCAAGAAAAAAACCCCCAAAACCAAGCATAAGAATATCAGAGTTCAGGGAAAGAAAATATGCTTCTTCCTCATGTTCTGCACAGGACTTGGAAACAAAGCCTAACAAGCTGGAGGAGGTGGACCTGGACATGGTTCCCATGAGCGTGGAGCTCGAAGAGGAAGCAGATGGCTTGGAAGAGTACACCTTCCCCAAGTTTGCAGCTACTTATTTCCAGGGGTCTTCTACACATACACATATCCGGAGACAGCTACGGCACCCACTGCTCTACCATGATGACAGGGACAATGTCCTGGTATCTTGCTCCTTCTTCTTGTTGAACCTGCTCTGTCCACAGCCCTAGTTTTACAGCTCCCCTCATCCTTGGGTCCCCTGCCACTGGCACAGCCTTGGGAGCCAGAGACTCTAGAGCCAAGCAGATGGTCTTAAGCACCTGTATGAAAAATAACAGTTCTCATCAGCATTTTTTGGCACTTTGCAGGCAGGCACTTCCCACAAACACCTGCCCAACACAGGATCTCTAGTTACCTTCAGTCTACCCAAAGAGGGAACTCAGAGGTTTGTTTTGACTTCTCCAGAAGTTACCTTTTGGGGGCAAAAATGGACCAGAGAGAAGAAGCACCAGAGCTCACCCATTTCTCTGCCCTTGTTAGGGTCGCTGGTCTGTGAGTTAGGACAGAAGGGGGAGGGCCAGGCATCCAATATTCTGTTGAACCAGAGGGGGATTAGGGAGGGTGTTTTCCTTGATGCTAAGCAGCCTTGCAGAACTGAGGATCCCACGTGTCAAGAACTTCGCTATTACTTGGCTTTCTAGTTCTGGGCATGAGGGCTCCTGGAAGAGTCCACTCCACTGCCCAGGTGGGTAAATGCAGGGTGCAGTTCAGCCAAGGTTTCTCCACCTCACTCCAGCCACAGCATACCTGCAAGGTGCCAGTAAAGGGAATGGTGAGGGCTCAGCAACCACAGAGCAAATCTGATATTCTCACCAGAGCTGTACCCTCTTCCTTTAGCATTAAAGTGTTGTGAGTGTTGCTCTCATGTTGTTTGACAAGAAACTAAACTCCTCGTGTAAGTAGCAGGAGGAGATGGGAAATTTAACAACTTGGACTGGGTAAAGGAAGGAAATGCTCTTATCTAAACAGGCAGAAATGGCATGAGGCATTGGTTCTCTTGGAGGTGTCTGATTTTGCTTTCTGCTACTACAGGCTTCTCTAGTTGTGTGGGTGATCATCCTGAGGTTCATGGGGGACCTGCCAGAGCCAGCAATGTTTGCCAAGAATTCCACCACCAAGAGCAGCTCCGTGATGACACAGATATATGACACACTTGGCAGAAAAAACCAGGTCCAGTTGAAGAATGACAGCCCGAATATGGTGAGAGAAGCAGGCTATGTTTTTGTTTTCATTTGCTTTCCTTGGTTTCTGTGCTGTTCTACCAAGAGTGAGAAAAGCAAAGGAACCCTTTCATGCTACTGTACTTGAAATGCTAGAAGTACAAAAGGGCTCCAGTTAGTCCTGGCAGGACAGTGCAGCTCCTTCTGACAAGAGAGGACAAAACAAAAACATCTTCACTTGAGCATCTTTCTGTCCTTAATGAATCACTCTTGCTGTGCATTGAACTAATTTCCTGTAGTGGTAATGTCTGTTGCAGAGAGAAGGCAGAAGGGATAACAAAATTTTGAAGGGGATCTCATCCCTGAAGCTGAAACGGTCATCCAAGCTGACAGGGAAGGTAAGTGGTGGAAATAAATTGCTTCCTTTTCTTCTTGCCTGGAACCCTATCTTCACCTTCTGACAGATGTTATGTGACAGCAACCTCCCAGCTGGGAACTTGTTCCCCTGAGAAGCCAGTGCAGCCCTGTGTGGGATACTTGGTGCAGTATTCTTTGGAAGTGATCCCCATGGGCAATGCTGCCATCCATACTCTGGCAGAGAACACAGGGAACAATTTATTATTGAGAACTCTTGGCATTACACAACAGTTTGCCCAAAGCCCTGAACAGACTGAGAACTACCATGTGCTTAGGGCTGTACAGGACAGTACAAGAAAGTTCTCCAAGCCAGTGATAGTGCTGTAACAGTGCATTTAAGGAGTTACCTGGAGACAGAAGGGGGGAATGTGGCCTGGCTCTAACTGCTCCTGCACTGAGCAGACAGCGGTTTACCCAGAAAGATAGAAAAGGAGTGTCTCTCATTTCTGAGAGAGTTGCCTGCTAAGAGGGGGGGTTTCTAGAACACTCTGGGGTTCTACTTGCTTTCCTTCAGGTGACAGACCAGCTGCAAAGTGGAGAAGAGGCTTTCCAAGAGGACACCTCGATCTCTGAGAGACCAATGTCCAACCTAGAAAAAGTGCACTTCATTATTGGCAATGCAATTCTGCGTCCTGCCATCAGGTAGGAAGTTTGTACCTCCTTCCTAGGACTAGATGCCCATTACATGAAGGAAATCCAGCATTCCCTTTCCACAGTCCTGGAGAATGACTCCTTTATTGTTTTTCCCAGTATTTTCATGTTGCAGTTTAGGCCAGCTGCCTTCATGTGCGGCTTTCTGAATATCCCGCGGGTATGGAACGGGGCAGAGCTCAGGGCTGTAACCCAATAACATCTGGTGGAACATAGCCCTAGGATGAGGGAGAAGAGTCACTCAGAAGAGTAAGAAATATGGAGTTAATGGATGAGAGGTTTCCCAATAGCCTATTGCTGAGTCCTCAAGCAATGTCCCCAAATCAGAGACAGCTGAAGGTCTGGATTGCTGAGTGTATCAGCCACTAAGAAGAAATCCTGTCCACAAGCAGTGTGAGGCTGGACTTTAGGCCAAGCATGGTGTGAGGACAAGCTGGTTGGTCCTGGCCTGACCCCATGAATCTTCTCCTCTGTTTTAGCTTACGTAACATTTTTCTGTAACCAAGCCCACAGGCACAGGCCCTGCCTTGACCTCAGTCATGGGCTGCTTTCCTCTCTACACCGTGGCTTTGTTTCAGTCAAGACACTCCCTGAAGCAGATTCCCAGCTGGAAAAATTGCCTTCAGTCCATGTTTCATAACAGCCACAGGCTAAGTACCTATCTCCTTGCCCTGTGTTTAATCATATGTTCTATCAGGGAACCAAAACCTTATCCGACTTATGTCCTCCCACATTAGATTTGCCAGATGTGTGTTGCAAGAGTCAAGAAAAATTAAGATGATTTTTTAAGAGAAGTTTTGTCTGTATACAGATTTTTGAATCTGTTTCCCATACTTCCTTGCTGCAGGCAATTTTCATTTTCAGAAGCTCACTCTGAAGTGCCTGTCCAAGGATTCACCCCAAGTTTGTATATAAATATATATACAAAAAAAAAAAAATAAAATTAAGGAGGGTGTCCCACCATCCTTATCCCCAGATCCACTTAGGAGCAGACAGACAAAAGCCAAGGTACAAGCCACATGCTCTAGAGAGCTTGGAGCATGGTGGGACAGCAATGCCATTTCCCAGCTGGATGACCTAGCAGTTGTTATCCCTGCACAGTACCCCTGCTTGTCACAGGAGGTACCCCAGCATGGGAATTATTGCACTTAAACTGCTTGAGAAGAAAGGGTGGCAAAGGGCCCTGAGCAAACCTTGAGCCTTTTCCATGACCAAGTTCTTTCCTGTGGTGCATCACGGGTGGTATCCCAGCTAAGGCAGTTAAATCTAGCTCAGTTAAATCTAGCATGACTTCATCATGCTGCAACTGCACCATGCTTGCAGTGGAAACATAGCCAAAGACAGCTGAAAGACAGTGAATCATTATCTGTTGCTCTCACATATTTCATTACAGAGATGAGATTTATTGCCAGATTTGCAAACAACTCACTGAAAACAGCAACAGGAGCAGCTACGCTCGCGGCTGGATCCTTCTGTCCCTTTGCCTTGGCTGCTTCCCTCCCTCAGACACCTTTGTGAAGGTACACTGCTAACCTTTCCAACAGCACCTCACGTGCCTGAGCTCAGCTGGGGTCTTGTGTATTTTGATGTTTTGATGCTGACAACCACACAAAATGTTTGGCTGCCACAGCAGCTGGTGCTGTGGTTTCAGCAGATACTCTCTCATCTCATATCCTTATCTGAGAATTTAAATAAATTATTGCTGCATTCACGTTTAATTTTTTTTCAATCCATGTCATACAGGTTGGATTCTGTTTTTCATCACAGCTCTCATTTTAGATCTCTAATCTGCAAAGAATCTGGCAAATTTTAACCTCTCCAATTCTACCTTTCCAACATTTAAAAGGTGTCTCCAGTTTAGTTTAAATATACTCAGGAGGCCAGTATAAAATCACCCCTCATATTTTACCAATTCTTACCCTACATTTCCAAGCCCTAAAAAATCCAGTAGAGATTTGATACCTTTTCTTAAATCATGCATTTCCAAGTTTCATCATCATCATCATGGCTGGGCTTCGCGAACGAAGATTTGGGCTTTCCAAGTTTAAATGGATAATAAATCCACTTCACCACAGGATAAAAACCCAACCTGTGGCTCCAACTTGATATCAGCCTTCCTCCTAGATTTCAAAGGCAAACAGGATCTATGGATGTGCCTGAAAATTCAGCCTTGCTTTACTGACACCCTAGCTCAAATGATTAATATAATCATAAATGCTGCTAAATGGACACTACTTGTAACAAACCAAACACATCATATTTTGATTCCAGGCTTCATCCAAGGACTCTGAACTGTGCAGAATTCATAAAAGACATGACCTCTAGGAATCCTGAATCATTAAAATAGCCAGGTGAATGCCCATGCTTGCACTAAATACAGATATGCAAATAACAGTCTGTGTCACCCAAGAGCCACACAGTCTCCAAAAGCTCAGTTTATCCAATTCTTCTCTTCCAAAGTCCAATCTTAGTCATGGACTTCAGCTACCGATATTGCCAGAGAACTTGATAAAACTGAAAGTATCAGTCATTGCCAGTTCTAACCCGCAATTAACTCTCTTCCCAGCACTGTTCATACAGACTTCAGGCTCTTCAGTTGAAGAGTTAGTTGCTCTAAGCTAATCATAGAATAAAGTGTAATATTTTTCACATAGTTAAACAAGTGAATAGACTGACACAAGTCTTCCCCTCGGGACTGAAAGCTCTGAAGAATGAGTGAAAACCAAGTGTCTCAAACCTCCTTTTTGAAAACACTAATTCCAGCTCTAACCTTTAATGCTGTCTGATGAACTGAAAGCTAATGGATCGCTCTAATCTAGTGTGTCAGCTACAAAAGGCTTGTGACGTTTTAAGAGGATCAGTGTTTCCTAACTGCCTCTCGTGCTCTGTGCACACAGTACCTGCTGAATTTCATCCACCACGGGCCCGCGGGCTACGCTCCTTATTGTGCCGAGCGCCTCAGACGCACCTACGTCAACGGGGCGCGGACTGAGCCACCCAGCTGGCTGGAGCTGCAGGTACCAACTCCCTCTTTGCCTCCTTATATCCATCTGTGACATTTTATACCGCTCTGCATTTACTAACCTGTACTAACAGATCTTCCTAAATCCAGTCAGGGAAATCAATCGCGCAAGGGGATTGCAAACCAGCTGCCTTGGCCTGGGCAGTTTCTTGGATACAGCTCTTCTGGCTGTTCAGTTAGCCTAAATTCAGTAGAGGATGTAAGTTAAAAGCTGCAACACATGATTTGAAGGGAGATACTTCCATCCACTCAGGAGCCACAGGCCAGAAACGACCTCCTGAGGGAAGCTCTTACCATCACTTTTGGAAAAAACTGAGCAGGGCTTATGCTTTTAAAATGGAGAGGAGTTTAATGGGGCTATATTGTCCTCCTCTTCCTTTAAATGTCATCCTAGTAATTGTAAGTCACACACTCCCTCTTCAAGGAAAAGCCTCAGTTCAATTCCTTCCTAAATCTCAGTGACCCTATTGCCTAACACACATCTTCCTGGGCAAACTACTTGATTCAGGCCATCTCTCCACTGATGTGTGCAAGGCTGTTCCCAAAAGTCATCAGGACAACAATGGCTCATGAAAAGTCTATCAGTCCACACTGCTGTGTGATAATGACCTCTCCTGAGGAGAGAACTTGAGTCCAGTGCTGCTCCAGGGATGTAATTTATATTTCAGACTCACTGTGCATTGAAGAAACTGTGTGGGTTTTGGAGATTCACTTTTAGATTGTTGAGTGCGTAGTACAGTGTGTGGAGCTCAAATCTAAATGCCTTCTTCATTCTTCAGAGAAAAGTGAGGTTTGCCCATAATTTTTTTCTCTCATTTCATTCTGACTTACAGGCAACAAAGCAGAAGAAACCCATTATGTTTAATGTCACCCTCATGAACGGCCAAAGCATCACTGTCCCTGCAGACTCTGCTTCCATTGCCAAAGAGATCTGTCAGTTCATAGCAGACAAAACCAAATTGAAGGATGCCTTTGGTTTTTCACTCTACATCGCTGTGTTTGATAAGGTAAAGTGTAGAAAAATAGAATGAAAGCTCCCTTCTCTTTCTGTGGAGTTGCTGCTGCCCACCCAGACTCACTGAGGACTCCCTCTGACTTCTGGAGCACCCTCAACCCAGTCCTGAACTCAGACCAAATCAGTTCTGAATCCCAGCTGGATCTCAGGACCTGATAATCCTATTCTGCCTTTCTGCTGGCTCACCACTTAGCAGTTCCTGCTGCAGCACTGTAGGGTTTCCTTTGCCAGGTCACATAACTGACTAATAAAAACACATCCACTTACCACATACAACTTGCACACCCACCTGCTTATCTTTTCAGAGGTTTTCCTGCTGTCGGGGAGACCAGGAGCTTCGTGCCTGTGGTCCTTCCCTCAGCCCCAGGGCAGGCATGCCAGTAATGCAGTGTCCCTTCGTGGCAGGTGTGGTCGCTGGGCGGGGGCCGGGATCACGTCCTGGATGCCATCTCCCAGTGTGAGCAGCTGGTGAGGGAGCGGGGCACCCACGAGCGCCACGCGCCCTGGCGCCTCTACTTCCGCAAGGAAATCTTCACCCCCTGGCACAACTCCCAGGAGGATCCTGTCAGCACGGATCTCATTTACCACCAAGTCATTCGCGGCGTCCGGTTTGGGGAGTACCGCTGTGAGAAGGTGGGTCTCCCGATTCATCTCCAAGAGTCAGAACTATATTAACACTTCCCACGTTAAAAAAAGCATGAAGATGAACTAAGTTTGCAGTGGATGTGGGCAATCCTTCCCTTCTCGGTGAACAATTCCTGTCCAGGTGATTGGGCCAGATGTCACACTGGCAGCTCTAATTAGTATTTTTTCCTGCAACTTTCAGTTTATGTGGCAGCAGGAGGCATGTCCAAAGGGGCAAACTGGGTCTTATTTTAAAATATCTATGCTAATAATTTCTCTGATGCTATGATTGTGTGAAGTTCACCCCTCCTTATACTGGATGACTCTTAAGAGTTTTCTAGACAAAAATGGAGAAAACCCCATTCCTAAACTGGCTTCAAGGTTGAATGAGGCTATCTAGCCTTTTTGACATCTTTCTAGGCCTCTTTTAATGGATTAATTGTTTCAGGAGGAGGATTTGGTGGAAATAGGTGCAAAATATTGTTATATCCAATTTGGAGACTCCATCCACAATGAACTTGTGCAGAAGGTGCTCCATGACTGTATCCCAGTGAAACAGCTGAAGTCCAAGCCCCTGGAAAAGTGGGTGAGCCTTATAACCTATGCACATGCTAAGGTAAGAGGTTTGTCTGGCAGTGCTGGGTAACCACTCTTGAGCACCAGCTTCTGCTTCTTTTACCATTTCCACTTTCGAATAGTCTGTAGGGGGAAGAATAAAACCCAGCTCAGTTCGTATATCCCAAATAGCTTGTCAGGGCTGGGGCAGCAGAGAACCTTTCCACTCACTCTTCCATTTAAGACTCAGCAGGGGGGCAGAATGAAAAAGTACATTTAAATCTCTAAATAGATTAGCTTTTAAGGCAACCAAGTCAGGATGAATGTGGGATGGAATATTGGTTTTGATCTAGAAATGGATTACCTGAATTATTTCCATGGCACCCAAAGTGTGTTAGACTCTAAACAGGTAAGTCAGTGTGGACTGGGGGGAAATTTGGAATCTGCATGCCTGTGGGCAATCTTAGCTGCATGTGGCTTGGGCCTCTGGAGACTGTTCCTGATTTACTTACGCCAGGTAGCCTTGGCACCTGTGACAGCAGAGGGTTGTTGGGAATCTCTGGGATCAGGCTCGCTCTTTATTGTCTGCAGATCATGCAAACCCCATTTTACTGAGAAAACCTCGGGTGTGTTTTTATCCTGCAGGCCCCATACACACAGGACCGTCTCTCCTCTCAGACTGTGAAGGAGCAACTTGTAGATTTTGCTCGCTTTCACTGGCCTTTGCTTTTTTCCCGATTCTTTGAAGTCACTAAGTTTTCAGGTAATACCTGGAGCCTGGGAAGTAGAGGACAGCTATAAGATCAATAGAAGAAGACTTGTATAGCATTGCTAAGGATCTTTTTCTGTATTTTCAGGGCCCAGCTTGCCTAAGAACCACTTCATCGTTGCTATAAATTGGAAAGGTATCTGCTTCTTGGATGAGTCAGAAAAGCGGCTCCTTGAGCTGACCTTCCCAGAGATAACTGGCATCCACACCAACAGGTGAAGGCCCCAGAAAGACAATATCTGCAGAAGGCATCTTTTCCATACTCAGAAAGCATGTACTTTCTCTGCCATCTCCTTAGGTGATTTGATCTGTGCCTGGAAAGGTGGCTTAGCCTAGGCCTGGGAAACAGAAAGGGAAAGCTTCTGAGAAGCCTATAAAGGAAATACTGAAATGGTTAGATCCTTCCAGCTGATGGAACGTGATCCTCCTCAGTCAAAAAGGTGTAAGGAAGCACAGATAAGCATAAAGACAAGAACAGCCCAAATAACTGACATCGTTAAGCCACTGTCTGCTGTGCATGCTGGGAGTTCATTTACTTCTCAGGTGTCATGGACCTGAATGGGATAACAAGGGAAAGAGGATAACCACTGGCTAGCTCAGGGCACACATCCTTGTGTCACTCAGAGAAGAGGGTCTTACATACATGAAAAAAACCCCCTGTGAGGACTGTCAGAGATTCACTTAGCTGCCTGGTTACTCCAAAAGAAGGATGTTCGTTTGTCTGTAATGAAGCACTTTTGTACAAAACATGATGGAGTCCAGAGTAAAGCTGAACCACTTCAGACCTTCACACCTACCAGTTCATGGGAGGGCAAATTAAGAGCTCCCGATACTCGCTGTAAGGGAGTTATCTGCAAGGAGGTGTAGAGGTGCCTTGGCTGTGTTTGCAGATGGGTCTCTAAGCTTTTCAGATGCTCTGGTAACCAATTGTTCATTAAAACATAGGGCAGTGAAGTCATTTGGACAGAGTTGCACACTCATCACACTTCGTGCTGAGGAGTTTGTCCTGACATCTGTAAACAGCGTCGCCATTGCTGAACTGGTGGTGACATTCCTGGAAGGACTGAAGAAAAAATCACCATTTGCTGTGGCAATGCATGAGAAAAAATCCCAGGGTAAGTCTTACAACTTTTCTACAGGGTGGGGAAGAAATCTGAATTGTTGAAGGTGCTCACAAAGGACAGGTAGAACTTCAGCAAGAGTCCCTTTGCTCCAGGAGGGATGCCTCAGCACAGCAATGAGAGCACAAGGAAATGGGATTCAGTACCTTTGCATACAAATCACCTTTTCTTCCTCCTTCTACCTCTTTGCATATTTTATTTAGATAGTACAGTGTCCGAAAACTCAGCTTGGTTATAGTAGGAAGTTGGGTCTGGGCTTCCTGGAAATATTTTACAGAAGAATTTCACAGAGGCAGTAAACTGGAATTTTCTGTGGAATACAGTTGGCTCAAACAGACATGAGAGGTTTAAGATGTAAACGTTAACTTCAGCTACTTAAACTACTGAGTTTCTCTTCATGCTTTGCTGCCAGTCTAGACACAAAGTCAGCATCCAAGTGAATCAAATGGAGTTTTACCATTGCCCTGAGTGGATCAAAATCAGGCCATCAAAGGAAACTAAAGTGATATCTCTGAAGTTTTACTGTGTAATTAGCCCTATATAAATAGAAATCACTTTCTATTGCTAACTGAATTTAGGCCTTCAAAAAATACAGTTCCCTTGTCTTTCCTGTTGCAATCCCTTTGCATTTTCTTGGACTGTCAAGCCAGAACAGTACTCCCTTATTCTGTCTTCCAGAAGACCCTGGCATCCTGTCCTTCAAGAAGGGAGACTTGCTAATCTTCACCGAAGACAAAAGGCTGGATGAAGATTCTGGCTGGATCCATGCCCAGAATGAAAGGACAGGCAAAACAGGGAATGTATTTTTGGAAGACATCTACATCATTCCTTCTCTCACAAAACCCTCTAGTCAAGTGCTGGTAAGAAAAGCTAAGCATTCTCTGTGAAGAGACTGGAAGATAAATTATAATAATGATTAAAGTTAAATAATGATTAAAGTTAAATATGATTAAATTTATAGCTGGAAGATAATTGTTCCTCCAAACTCAGACAAATTCTATACCTCCCATTGAAACAAAGCACTTCATTCTGTCCTCTCTGAAAACAAACCTAAACCTAGCCCAGACTCTAAGGACAAGGCTGCAGTTGCACAAAAGCAAAACTTTTTAAAAACCACCCAGTTTGTTCACCATGGGAGATTTCAGTGCCTGGAACTGGTAGCAATTAGTGGATATGGGTGTGCAGTTGAATTTCCCTGCATTCACACTGGGTTGAGTGGTGATCACATTATGCCTCAGGGGAAGCTCTGAGTGCAGCAAGCTACTTTAAAAGAATATGATCTTTGAGGGAGTCAAGGTTTGCCATTGATCCCTCTGCTAACAATTTTGTCTTCAGTTTTGGCGATTCAGTATGTTGGATACTGTGCTAACAGGTAAAAAGCAGAAAAACTGGGGACAAAATACACTGGTGATAAACAGGTGCATCGTAAAATGTGTCGTGCTTCGGAAAGTCACATACATTTTGATGTGTACTGCTGTTGAGTCTGTGGAAATTGCTCTTAAGTCAACTGTTCCCAGGTCTTTCTTGAGTCTCTGGAGATGCTGCTTTGGGGACAGAAGGTCTTGGGCAGCACAGAGCACTACCTGTGCACATATGCTAAGTAACACCCGACAACCTGTGCAGAGACCTGTTCCCATGTGACATCTCTACGTGGCTGTGTCATTACAGAGTTTGCTGATGATGTCTCCAGACCAGAGGAGGACAGCTTCACAGAACTCCTTCATGGAGGAACCTGATGAAGAGGATGTCAAAGTGAAGCCTTACACCCTGGAGGAGTTCTCCTATGAACACTTCAGGTGAAGCTCTCTGTGTAGTGTACGCCCTAGGAAAGTTCTTATTGATCAGTGATCCTTAAAGCCTAGGATGAAATGGCATCTCCCATTTCTGATTGGGTTTCTTCTCTTTGTTCCCTGTAATTGTGACTTTGGATGTGCAGAGATTCTGGCACATGGTCTATTATATCTTAAGTCTGCAGAAATGCAAAGGGGAGGGTAGAACCCCAGCTGGAGTCACTTCTTCCCAGCAGGCCCTATTCTTAGTTCTCACCCCTTCTTCAGCAAGGGTACACAACATTTCAGGCCTCAGAGAGAAGGGGGAAATTAGTTTTCTAAAACTTCTCTTCTTTTTGCAAACCTTCTCCCTTCTGGATATACAGGAAACTACATTTTCCTGCTCTTGCTCACCTACAGACTCAAAGGAGATATGAGATCAATGTCTTGGGAAAGAACATGTCTAGAGATATGACTTTGTGATAATGACCTGCTATGTTCCCAGCAATACTGATCCAGTAATGTTGTATTGCCTGCACTTGTCTTCATTCAGGACTCCTGAGAAGGAATCCATCAGCAAAGCTGTTCTCCAGAAATCCCGTGGGCGCAGTCAGCTGTGGGCACACTCTAAGGAGCCCCTGAAACAGCCGTTGCTGAAGAGAGCATGCACAGACCCTGATCTTCGGGATTTGGCCTGTCAGGCCTTCATTGATATCCTTTCTCCCCTCTCTTTGGGACCTCAGAACACTCAGGGGAAGGAAAGGCTAGCTGCCTCCACTAAACTTGCCTCTGTTGTTATACCTTCACTGCATTACAGGGCATACATTCACATAAAGGTGGGATGTATCCGATCTGTGTCCCTTGTCTACAGAGGAAAGATTCCTATTCCCTCCCAGTGCTCCACAGCTCCTGATGGCTCACTTAACTGGGAATGTGGCTTTAGGAGAGAGTGAGACTTACTGCATATGCCCAGAGCAAGCAGCTAACACCGTACAAATCACAGCCAGGCAGTGACTGCTTCATAGGGAAAGGGGGTAGGGGACAGGCAGGGAGCATGCTCCAGACCTTCCTCCCAGAATTTGCCACTTAGACATCAAAAGATCCCCAACGTGTTAGGATCCAGATAAAACTTACCATTTGCCTTCCAAAACTGGCCTGCTTTTCTCCTTAACAGCACATTCACCCATCATGAAGTTCATGGGAGACTATCCCTCCAAACAGGCACACTCCTCCGTGGAAGTCACTGACCAGATATTTGTGGCAGCTATCCAGGAGGAGGTCCTGCGGGATGAGATTTACTGTCAGATTATGAAGCAACTGACTGAGAACAGAAACAGGTATTCCCCTGGGTGCAAACCCCCTGCTCCTCGCAGAGCCAGGCCTCAAGTGCAGGTGGGGATCGGGAACAGAGGGGAAGGATGGTTGGAGTCACACTTTCCCTTGTGCCAGGCAGTGCTGTGGGACTCACCTTTGTGGAGCACTCGGGACCCCTGCCTGGCAGTGAGAGGCCACAGAACACCATTCATCTCCCCTGAGCTGCTGCTTTGCTCCCATCAGCATTCCATACTCCTGTCTGTGCAGCACAGTGTGAGGCAGGCAAGGTGTTTCTGAGGCTCTCTTGCTCCCAAGGCAGTCTGTGCAGAAAATACGACACTGCATAGTCCTTGCATCCCACCAGTGACTGCCCTGCTAACCCTCCATTCAAGTTTCCCAATGGCAGCATTTCCCTTCATAAGCACATAGTTCACACTAGATTTTTACCACCAGTGAATAAATACTTTGGTTATAATAATTAGGTTACACAACTGCCTTGCAGAACAGATTGGTTTCACAGGCCTCTGCCCACATAAAGTCTCTGAAACAGGCTGGTGTTTTCTTCCCCACTCACAAAATGAGAATTTGACCTACTTCCAGGGGAAATCAATTGCCAAAAGAAGCTTAAAATCATACTAATTATTAACAAAATGGTTTGTCTGTTTCTGGCTGCATTGTGTCACTGCAAAAGTTATAGAAGGAGCTTCCATTTATTTATTTTCTTTCTTACTGTTCCACAAGTATTGCTCCTAGTGGAACCTTTACCATGTTTGTAATCATTGACTGTTACATTTCCTTGCAGGCAGCAAATCTTACAGGCTATTTAATGCATAGCCTGTAACCATGGTGCCAGAGCCATGCCTGATGTGCTCCACCAATTTAGTCGCTGTTTAGAGCGGGATCACTGATGTGGAAAAAACAATGCTTGAAAGGTGGCTATTTCCATATACTTTCATTAGAACAGCCAGAGCAACAAATCTTTCATCCTTCCCAGGCTGCTGTGCTGTGGACCATGTCCCGTTCTCGCACAGACACAAACACCACTCATCTATATAGTATAAAAGAGATTAAAATAGCGTGTCTTCATCTGCAAAATGAGAATAGTAAATGGGAATAGACAAGCAAGGATCTCTTTATTCAGCAAAGTCTGGTGCCCTTTCAGAGCCAGACATGCTGACTTTCCCAAACAAAACCACTTCACACCACTGAGTATTTCAGAGTAATCCTGGGACACAACTGAAGTGTGTTCTGCTCCTCGCTTTGAAGGCAGAACGACTGACCACCTCCAGGCTGCAGAGCCTTTCTTACTGGTGAGGGCAAGGTGCCAGAACTTCAACTGGCAGATTCCACAGGTGCAGAGGCTGGAAGAACCGGGTTTCTGCCTGAAAATGGTACCAACTTGATGTGGGGTGTTGAAGAACTCTAACTACCACATTACACAGTGCCATCTACATGTTCATTTTTCAGAACAGGAGCACATGTGAGGGGAAACCAGTGCATGTGAAGTGCTTGTGCCCTGAGCAAAACTCACCAGTGCAGAGGGCAGGTGACTACAAACCACTGAGAAACCACAATCCGAATGCACATGAGCTTGAGCAGCAAATGGCTTTCCAAGAGGATGGCACCAGGGTCACTGCTGCCCAGATGTCTGTTAACCTGAAGCTTATATTTATTCATGAGACTTGCAACTGTCACAAGTATTGCTCATGCAGAACTCAGCACTGTTTTCACATGCAGGCCGTGGTTGTTACACAGCAAATGACTGCCAGAGCCTGTGTGAAGGCTCTGTTGATTTGCAGCTCTTTGCTGAATGGCACCATGATGGGAGTGTGTTTCTCTTCCCTGTGGTTGGTGTGTGGTCAAACAGAGAATTACGTGTGGCTGTAGCAGAACTGTTTGCTTTGTGTTCACAGGTACAGCGTGACCAGGGGCTGGCAGCTCCTCTGGCTCTGCACTGGCCTCTTCCCACCCAGCAAGTCACTGCTCAAACATGCCCAGAAGTTCATAGAGACACGTCAGAAAGAAACACTGGCCCCAGCGTGCCGTCGGAGGATTCAGACAGTAATGAGGTAAATGATCTGGCAGATAACCAGCTCAAAGTGTTCAAAAATCAACAGTCAGGCTCCAAAAACCACAAGGGCTAAAATAATATGACTCTTACTTTCCTTTCCCTCTTTACAGCCTCTTTTTTATAAGTGATAATTATTTTTAACTCTTTATGGGCTTTGAACCACTAAAAGTGATCTGTGTCCCAGTTTCACTTTTTTCTTTCACAGAGTTAGCAGCATTTTTTAAAAGTTCATCATCACACATAACCACTTGACTCCAAAAGCTTGGTATTTCAAACCTGAGTGTTTTAAATACAGCATGCAGCTTGAAATGACATCATTGATGATGTCCTGACCTTACTTTTCTTTGGTGAGGCAGCACGTCCTTGTTTCTCTTGCATGTGCCTGAGGATTAGTTTGGAGTTTGTTGACTCTCAGTAGCAAAGAGCTGCACACGTGCAGCTAAAAATACAACAGTAGTATGTTTTACTCATAGTGGAGGGGCACCACTAAAGTCATTGCTATCTGCAGAGTGCTACTATGGCTCTGTTGGTTTTCTGATGGTGAAGTAAAGCAGATCCATGCTGGGAGGAGAAGATCAATACAATCAATTCTTCTCTTTGAAGAAATCCAAATGAGCAAAGCCCTGACATTTACCTGGCTCAGAGCAAGGCACTTTTCCATCCACTTGGCATTACCTGAGCCTGGTGAGGGTTGAAGCAACGTGGCCCCCAAACCACAGTGCTTCCTGAGCTTCTGAATAACTTGTTGTTCTAATGGACATGACACAACCAGAGAGAATAGAAGGGCTACCCGGATTTCAGGAAGGATCAACTGAACTGTAGGGGGAAGGTTTCCCTAGATTCCTCCAGGCACTGGAATTACCCAGCTTACCACTCTGAGAACAGAGTTTGGCATCAAGGTTGACTCCAGCCTCCTCCCTTTTGATGATGCTGTGATTTACCACCTGCTTGCCACAGTCCTCATCAGTAAAGAAGCTGCTCAATGATTTCTCCTTGCAGCTCCTCCATCCTTCCCTCTCTCAGGCTGAGCCCCATGTTTGGTCTGTGAGCCCTGTGGGTCAGGCTCTAAGGGAATGCTAACACAGTGGATAACCCCCTTGCAGTGCATGGATTTTGGCACTGCTGAGGAAATGACACCACACATTGAACTCGCCTTTGAAGTCCCTGAAAAATGCATGGCAAGGAATGCTATTCATTGTTTATTTCTATGGAGAAGACTTGAAAATTCCTGCCTCCCTATATCATGTGCTATTCATGCTCTAAGCCCCGTTGAGCTTCACAGAGCTGCTTTTGAGAGGGCAAACAGGGAGGGGAAAGCAGAATGGGCCGTTTGGGAGGAGAATTCTATTTGCTGAACTTCCCCAGATCTGGAGCTTGGGGGATGGGAAGAGGAACGAAGACAAATCTTGTCTTCTAAGTGCAGTTCTTTTCATAAGATTAAAGCTGCACCTGTTTAGAACAGCACAGAACAGCACAGAATAGCATAGCATAGAATAGAATAGAACAGAAAAGACTATTTCAGTTGGAAGGAGCCTTCAACAATCATCTAGTCAAACTTCTCCCTATAAGTAACCTGCTCTCTTTGGAAAGGGGAGGGCAGTCAGCTCAAAGGACTGACCTATGATACATTCAGGGGAGGCCAACTGAGCCCTTGGGTACCTACTTTTTCCTCCATAAACAGCTTTACAGCTTCATCCCCAGAATCCTGGCCACTGATCTCACCTTGGCAATGAATTCCTAGCTCAGGCTGCAAAGAGAGGTGGCCCTGTGCCTCTCCAGCCAAGCTGCTGCACTTCCTTGAGCTCCTTGTGATGCCAGTTCAGGAACAGGTGACTGAATAGGGAAGGTCCACACTCCGTACAATACCTGCACATGCTGCTCAGCTTGGCTGAACAGTCAGGTTTTCCTTCTCCAAATGAAACTGCTACTTTATTGAATGGAAAAAAATATTAGTTTTCAACTCTACACAACTGAAGCTGGATCCAGACTAACCTCTTCCTGAGAGACTGACCCAGTGTGAGAGGAGTTTGGCCCATAAGTTACCGTGTACAAAACCTCTGAACAGCCTGCTCTGGGCCACCGAGGGTAGGAATATACCAGCCCCAGGAGGTAATGTGCTAGATTTCTCCTCACTTTAACTGTGTCAAGGTTTTGGCATGACTCAGACTTCAGGGCCAGTTCCTTTGCTTTAAAAAGCAGCTCTGCTCTGAGGTATAATTTCAAAGAACTGGGTTTGTACAGCTTAGCAGCTCCTGAGTCAATGATTGCACTCCAGCTCTTATATAAAACACTTTCAGGAGCCCTCCAAACCTTTTTGGTACTTGCCTTCTGTGCTTTAAGTAATTTTGAATCTGAATACATCTTTTCTTGATGCAAGAATTAAATAAAATGTATTTCTCCTTGTAGCCATTATCTTCACACTTCAGTAAGGAAAAATGCTGCTGAATCTATAGAAGGGGCAATGGTACTGGCTAGGAAGGTGCCTTGTTCATGCAATCTTGTTGCAGAGTAGAATATGCTTTTAATATATTTTCTAATGAGACTCTCAGTTTCTTGCTATTAATATACTGAATTTCACTGGGGTGAAGGTCCATTGGAGCCTGCCCCACCACACAGCACCAGCACTTTGAGTGGAGTCTGTTGTTCAGCTGGAATACTGTTGTTCAGCTCCTCAATGATTAAACATCCAGCACTGATCTCTCTTATGATGGTGGTGGTATTTTCCAGGAGTGGCTGCAGGAAGTGGGCACCTCATCCTGTGGAGGTTGAGGCCATCTTACAGAACAACACTAAGATCTCACACAAGATTTGCTTCCCCAATGAAACACAACAGGTGAGCACTTACTTGTTTTCCCAGCCTTGACCATTTTTCCAGCCTTGATGTGTTCACCCAGGAGCATGTTTGAAGACATTCAGTGCTCTTCTTCCTCTCTAACAAGAGTCTTGTTATCTCATAGACATTTGATGTGGGAACAAACACCAAGATCCGGACTCTGTGTCAGAACATCGCTTCTAAATTGCAGCTGAGCTCCTGGGAAGGTTTCAGCCTCTTTGTGAAGATTGCAGACAAGGTAACTCTTCTCAACTGTGGCCAGACTCTCCCTCCTCTCTTACTTATTTACCAGACTACCTAAACAACCACATGAAGCCAAAGACCAGAGCAGGTCATTACTGCTTCTGTCTTACTGAGTCTTACCTAGACTCAAACTTTTAGCACCAGACAATTATTTTAAATCTCCTGAAGGGGCTGGATGGAGATGCAAGTTTCTATCAGCCTGCCAATACTTAGGTGGTACTAAAAGCAGAGAAGACATGGGCTTTCTAGCAGCTGCTGAGATTGTTGCAAGTTGGATGTTGCCTAGTGCTGGATTCAGCCCTTTTCCACTCAGGCTTTTCCCAGGAGTTGTGCTGCACATACACAGTGCCCACTGGGATTAAGGAGAGCAAGGGCAACCAGCACCAGTTGATTGCTCTCTAGTTTGTCAGGAGCTTGCCTTGCTTGAACTGAAGCTTGGTCTGGCTGCCTTGCTGAGAGGTCCCTTCTCTCTGGAACTGTGACCAAGGCAAAAGTAGCAGTGAGCCCAAGCACAGGGAGTTTCTGATGTGCTGCCTTCCTGAAAAGAGGAACCCAGTACGTGACAATATTTTACAAAGAGGAGAATAAGCTGAGAATAAGGTAGGCATCTCCAGCTTGACTTCGAAAGCAAAAAGAAAAACAGGATGCAATAAAAGTCCCCATACAAAATGTAAATAAATTGAACCATTCTTCTCCTATTTCTCTACTTCTTTCCCCTTGCCCCTGTCTTTCCTGCTGTAATTCTGCCCTCTTACTGTAGACAGGGAAAGAAAATTCAGCCTGATATTTGGGGATGTTGGCACTGGCAGTATTTTATATGATGTGCTAATCCCTCCTTTCTCTCCTTCATTGCTTGGCCCCTGCAGGTGATCAGTCAGAACGAAGCAGACTACTTCTTTGACTCACTAAGGCAGGTGACAGACTGGAACAGGAGGAACAAACCAGGGAAAGATGGTAAGGAGAATGCCAGCATGACAAGAAGCTGCATGACATGCTGTGTTGTACTGGGAAAGAGCAGATTTATCCAGTAGGATTCACTCCATCTTGGGAAGTGTTTAGCAGAGTCTTTTTATACCATTTTTGTTTGTACACATGGTTACTGCCTGCACCAGCAGCAAGTGACCCAATGCAGCCAAGCACAGGCTATCAGAAACACCAGAGCATCTCTGTGTGGGGATCTCTCCAGAAACTTTAAATTGGTAACAAAGATTTTTTTGACCAAAAATCTTTTGGTGTATCCAAAACACACTGCTGGATACACACAAGTCATACAGGTTGATCCTCAAGTATTAAGCATCAGCCAACAAATGTAAATAGGTTCTTCATGGTGTCACTTACATTCCTTGGGTTGTCAGAAAATTTTTAACCAGATTATTACCTGGTGATACCCAAGCACAAGTTACGTTGTCAGGGAAACAGCCATTAGAATAAAACAATGTAATACTAATAACAGCAATTCCTTGCACTTAGCCCCCCCACCCATGTATAACATACATTTTGAAATCTACATCGAACTCCACTCAAATTTCTTATCAATTTATCCTGATCTTTGCTTATTTCAGGACAGCCGAGGTTCAACTTCCTGAAGCTCGATGTATCTAAGACTTTCTAACTTCTCTCCCCACAGCTGATGCAGCTGCTAGGAGCTCCAAAAACCACAGCATAAAGATGTGGGTCCACTAAATCACAATTCGTTTGTGTAAGCACAGCCCTCAGGGAACGTACTGGCATCAGTGCACCAGAGTTCAGGTGTGCTGCACACCAGCAGGCAGCTGTCAGGAGCACCAAGGAATAACAAACACTCCATGGCTGGCACCCTCACCTTCTCCTTCATTTCTGGAGAGCCCATATCTCAGATCACTGTGTGAGCAGTGTCCAGGAACTGACAACTAATCACTTTCTTGGTCATCTAAAATGGCTTTTTGTATTTTTTGGGTAGCAATTTTATTTGTTACTATTAAAACCAGAATTACTTTTCTGCAGAAACTCACAAGCCATTTAAAAACTGCAGAACTGTCAGTGACACAGAGAACACTAATAAGATCTGGTTTCCTTAGGGACTGCTATGTCTGTGGCATATGAGGTGTACTTCATGAGAAAGCTGTGGCTGAATGTCACTCCTGGGAAGGACCTGAAAGCTGATACCATTTTCCATTACCACCAGGTAAGCAGCTCCCTAAAGCCCAGATATAGTGTGATCCCAGAAACACTCCTGAGGAAGTATTACTGTCTCCCTCCCCAAGGCCTGCATTATAGAGCCTCCAGAGGAATGCCTCCAGAAGGCACAGCTCAGCCTCAGAAGCAGATTTATTTCTCACAGTGTTCACACCTTAGCTATGATATGAGCACAGCTCCCTTACCAAATTGTTCCGTGGAGATGCTTGTCTTGCTCCATAAATTGTACAGAGAATGACAGAAAGTTCTGAGTTGTAAAGGACCTTTAAAGATCAACCCTAAATTTCTCAGGATGTCCTTGGACTGTGTTTGGCAAGACTCACATCCTGACCTTACGGATTTAGAATGTTTAAGTCAGTGTTTGCTTCAGCCCACTGTGCCTGAATTCAGAGCTGGTCTCTTCCAGGAGCTGCCAAAGTACCTTAGAGGTTACCATAAGTGTTCCAAGGATGAAGCTGTCCAGCTGGCAGGGCTGATTTATAAAGTGCGTTTCAATAATGACCGCGCACAGCTGGCAACCATCCCCAAAATCCTGAAGGAGCTGGTGCCAGACAATCTGCTCCGAGCAGTCTCACCAGATGAATGGAAGAAGGTAAGAACATCAGCTTTCCTTAGTCATACTGTTTATAGAGAGCTTTAGGAGAGAAGATAGACATCGAGCCACTTTACATTTTTGAGCTGACAGCCTTTGAAAGCACTATGGAGGGATGCTATTGGATACTGCTGGATTTGCCAGCGGGACAGTGAGACTATTTGCCTCTTACAATCCTCATTTTGCATCCTCTCTACCAAAGCTCTGAAAGATATCTGCGGGCCTGGATGACTTGATTTGAGATGTGCATCTTTCTTGAAGATAGTAAGCAACTTCCAGTGCTCAGAATAAGAGTTAGAGACAGGGAAATCAGTGATGGGACTGGGAATTTGAGGATATTGGACAAAACCAGAAAATTAAGGTGTGTAATAAAGTATTTCATAGTTTGGCACCAAATAAAATTCCTTGTACCATGTGCATGCTACTTACAGCAAAAGGCTCTTTTCTCCATGAAAAGGCAAGGAAGTTTCAGCAGGTACTTCTTACTTAGTCCGCTGAGGAAGACACAGGACACTATTTCAAATGACCCTACATGTTTCAGCAGAAGATGTGATACATGTCTGTGGGTGATGAACACTGCCTTTCTTTTGTTTCATCCTACATTGCCCCTCTGACCTGCAGTCCATTCCCTGGGGCTGCTGGGCTTCCTTCACCCAACACATGAATAAGAAACGCTGGGGATTCTGGCTCCCCCTTGCCTCAGGGCATGGCAGGATCCTTACATCTTCACAGTCTTCTGTTGCTGTGGGAAAAAAAACCATGATCTTGGTGATGATCTGCTGCTGTCTTTAGTGCTAATGCTGGGCACTGGAAATCTGCCTGTCTCCCAACTGAACAGGCCTTGTATCTGCTTTTCCTAAACAGAGCATTACTGCAGCATATAGTAAACACGAGGGAAAAACTGTGGATGAGGCCAAGATTGCCTTCTTGAAAATGATACACCGGTGGCCAACATTTGGATCAGCCTTTTTTGAGGTGAAGGTAGGTTTGAAGGCCTGTGTGACTGGATTTGGGAGCAGATCAGTACTAGGGGATACGGACTTACTATAATTCCATATCTGCATAAGTGAAAATACATTAGAAAGCTGAGTTCCTGTGATCTATTGAGGAAAACTCAGTTCCTTCAAAGTGGGGAGATGGGTTCTTTATCCATTCTGAACTATGTGTACCGTTTACTGGCTATGTTGTTGTTCCAGTTGTAATACCTATATTACAGGTGTGTACTAGCAGTAGGGGGTTAGTTACATGGATGCTTAATTGTCCTGTCATCACTCTCCACAACAAAATGCTGCCAAATCTTGTCTCTGTGGGGACTCTTCCCTTAGAACAGAACTGTATTAATCCTCTCATTCTGGAGAGGATACCTCCCAAGAATCATTTCCTACTTGCTACCTTTAATTTCTCCTTGCTGGGCTCTTAACTTCCCTTAACTGGTTTGCAAGCAACTGTTAAGCCTGTTATCAGTGTAGTAAATAATGGACCAGATTCTGCTTTCATGCAGCAGTTGCTCAAGTCATCGATATGGGGCCAAAAGGTTTCAGTGTTCGTTTTGGGAAAGAGAACAAGCAGCACTGGACACTATTAAAGGTCACCGTGCACCTCATACAGATAATTTCTTCATTTTCTGCTTATCTTCCTGTGTTACTTGTTCACAGCAAGCCTCGGAGCCAAATTTCCCAGAGATTGTGCTGATTGCAATCAACAAGCAAGGAGTCTCGCTGATACATCAGAAGACAAAGGTAACAATTGCTTCTCATGAGTCCACGGAAGGAAGGATCTAACTGACTGCGCTAATTTAGGGACAGCAACAGGACCTTGTCCAGGAATGATAAGAGAGGACAGAGGCCCTCTATTCATTTTTTGTGTGAAAACAGAAGAAAATTTCACTGCCTCAAACTACTTCTTTGCAGTTTCTACACTGGAAAAGAAACAGTGTAGAGCATCTCTGCAAAGAGACATGGGAATCACGATGCACCTGAGCAAGGTGGTAAGATGGATGTGCAAGATCAGTCAGATGGATGGGCAGTGCACCTGCTTCAAGAAAAGTGTTTTGCAGGAAGCCCAGGTGTCTAAAAGCTCAGGCTGAATGGCAGTGTTTAGCTGCTGCCTAACCCCAACACTCTGGTCTTACCAAGTTCCCAGGAAAAGAGAATATCACTATTTCCTTTCAATAATGAAACGACTATCCAGTGAGTTTTAGATTATAGTAAATATAATGGCAGTGTGCTAAGGCACAGATCAATATATAATGAAAGGAAGTCTCACTAGTGTGATTAAGATTCACTTGCTTGGTGAAAATACAATATAACACTCGTTTAGATGCAAGAACTACCTTGATCCACTGCATTTATAAATGAAGTGGGAAAGAAAAAGAATGTTCTGGCTCTACCGGTTTTCTTATGTAACAGCCTGTTTTCATTTGAGAAATGTTCTATAGTTCAATTTGTTTCCCCTTACAGGATATTTTAACAGTCTACCCATTCAATAAAATCTCCAACTGGAGCAGTGGGAGCACATACTTTCACATGACAATAGGGAACCTGGTACGAGGAAACCGGCTCTTATGTGAGACATCTCTGGTAAGAAGACTCTCCTCAACTTAGACAAAACAACCTCCTGATTATAACTTTACATCCAGAATTGGTACAAAACAAGGGAGCCAAAACAGATAAATACCACTGCAGATACAAAAAGCATTCGCTGCTGTGTCAATAAAATTGCCATTTAGAACTGGTTCCATGCTATATCATGCTATCTGATGCAAAGATTTAAGACACAGGACACAATGAAAATAGTAATTTCCCAAGTTCTTCCCCTCCATCAAAATTCTATCCACCTGAGACATCAAGACTGAAAAACTATGTAAGAGGCTTTTTGTCTTGCATGTCTGCCTCCGTCTATGCAGGAAAGCCAGCCTTGTAAGACTTTATACTTTCCAATGATTGGTACCAACTTTTTAACAATTGGCTTCAGACTGTCCAGAGGCTCAAAGAAGTATCACTGTATTAATATTTAATGGTAGGTTTGTAAAGATAACAAAAACATTTGTAGGCTAACTGCTCTGACACAAAAGCCTGGATCCTTAAATACAAGAATCTTAGAGTACAAGTCAAGCTATAGAGTGAATACCCAGGTGACAGCAGAGCTATGCTCTGTAAAGCTTTGGAAATCTATGAAGAGTAGAAATAGGTAAGTCATTACTAACACTGTGACAGCTATGGAAAGAGATGTTCATGCAGGGAAGAACCTAAGAAGAAGATAAACCAGGGAGGAAATTCTAGTTATTTTTACTTCTGGAGCTCTCAGAGAGATTTAAGACTTTTTTCTTCCCTGACAGGGTTACAAAATGGATGACCTGTTAACGTCCTACGTGCGCCTGCTCATGAATGCTGTAAACAAGCAAAAGAACCTCCCAGCCTGAGAGTGGGGATAGAACCCACGACCTGTGTTTGTGCCAAACTACCTGTAATTTCATCTCTCATAAGAAATGCCATTTAAAAAAATATTAAGC